CGCTTTCTACTGCGCCGAGTGTTGTGGGTTCAAAACCCCACATGAAACGACACTTTGTGTGATCCACAATTTGTTGTTCTGAGTCTGGGTGTTCTTTGTGTCCGTTTCATATATGTTTGTAAAGTCCCCCGCGACACAGGAATGTATTCCTACTGCGGGAGTTGTCTTTTAAAAAAAAAAAAAAATGTTATCCACTGTAATATGAAATCATTGTACCGTGGACGCGTAAAAGACGCGTTTGTGACTCCTGGGTTGCAAGCGTTCAGGGGCGGCGGCAGTCGCTTTCCAACAGGTGACCCGTCTGTTCGTTTGCCCCCAATTCCATAAAAAAATAAAAAGAATTGACTGTTTTATTATATCAAGATAACATAACTCATTTTAATAGATAGAGTCAATTGGTCAGTGAAGGCTGGATGAGTAGAACGTTCAGTAACTACTAGTAAACTCATCACATATAAACAGATTAGGCTTGGCACGATTATCTGATGCTGAAGTTAGAAGACATTTATTAGTTTTACTAAACTGATAAAAGATGTCCGATCGGCTCGATCCCCTGGTGTTACGTAGAGATGTGACTTCACTCTGCATTCTCTATCGCATATATCATGGAGAGTGCTCCGAGGAATTGTTATAATACCAGCCGCAACTTTCCGCCATCGTTCCACGCGGCAAAATTTTCATCCTCATCACCTGGATAGTTGGCGCTCCACTACTGTGTGCTTTTCGAGACACTATTTGCCCCGCACAACCAATCTGTGGAACGGGTTATCGTCTGCGGTATTTCCGGACCGATACGACCTTCAAACTTTCAAGGAAAGAGCGTACTCCTTCCCAAAAGGCCGGCAGCGCGTTTGTGACTCCTGAGTTGCAGACGTTCAGGGGCGGCGATGGTCACTTTCCATCATTTGACTCGTCTGCTCGTCTGCCCCCTCTAACATAACTATTATTCCAAAGTGGGAATCCTTATGGTGACGGATTAAGAATACATAATGTCACCACCCCTAATCATCCCGTGGGTGTCGTAAAAGTCGACTAAGGGAGAAAACTACGCAAGACAACATCACTGCAAAGAGAAGGAAAACTTGAATCAAACCCTATACGTACCCGTCTGGCGAGCGTGGTATAGTAGGCCAAAACCTCCTTTCAGAGGAGAGGCCTATGTCCAGCAGTGGACTATCATAGGCTGTTGATGATTTGTGAAAGTGGGAAAAGTATTTATTTGTGAGTTTCAGGTGTCAATAGATGGCCTTATCACCTACCATCAAGTGAGTTACTTGCTCGTTTACTCTCTCCACCGCATGTATTTATTTTTATCACAGAACAAGTTATTCAACACTATTAAACTACGTGTTAAGTACTAAACCAAATACAGGCCAGATTAAGTTTGATTCGTAATGTAATATTTTAGCCATTTAATACAAATAATACATCATCAGAGCACCAAGCATCTCAGTATTGGGTAGTCTGTGTCTATTCTCTGCCAGCCACTTTTTTCAAGACGTCGGTCCACCGTGTGCAATACGAGCCCTCACAATAATGCAGTAATGGCTTTTTAGCACATTACACCAGAACCTAGCTGTTAACAGCTATATATAAAGTAACATTTCATAAGGTATATCACCCAAAGAGACATTAATGGTCCTTTATATTACAACTGTAAGGTCTCATAAATTCTACTAAAATACTTTCAGAATGAAAAGTAAAACGGCAATAAGTCAAACCACTTTTTGTAATTAGAGACATAGTTTACTTGTTATTTTATATTAAAAGCTATGAAATCAGATTATGCTAATGTCAGTTATCTTGATGTCACAGAGGAGCAACTCTATTAGCTTGAACGGCTTCAAAATGTCTGTGTATGGATCATGTTTGGTTTACGAAAATATGATATCGCCTCTGAATATCTGAACTTGCTCAAGTGGCTCCCAATTCGCCTTAAATGAAATACTCAAATACCTACTCTATAATATTACTAGCTTTTACTTAAATATACATTTTAGTGCTTTGTGTATAAATACAAATTATCCTGGTCAAAAAGTAGAAGAATATATTGTTCACTCCATTTTCCATCCATCCATCATACGAATCTTTCGAAACCTTATCATAATAATGTATGTGAGTATTATCAACCCTTACTCACACACTACATTATACTTCATACATAACCAATATGGCTGGACTCTCTGATACTTTATTTTTAAATCATTTGACCCAACATTTATATAATTTATAAGGAACTTCAAAGAGACATAACTTGGTATTCACTTGGATTGTTTTTTTTTTGTATTTATGTAATGCTATTTGTTTTGACTTGACAAATAGGCAACAGATAACTCAAATAACTAGAGTAAACCCTAAAACTAAAAATGAAGAAACGTACACCTCCATGAAGCGTTATGTTTCATATGGTGTTCCGCAGGGCAGTGTCCTTGGGCCACTTTTATTTATTATATATATCAATGACTTACCAAATGCAACGATTCAACCGATGACCCTATTCGCTGATGACAGTACGGTTACTATTTCATGCAAGGATATCAACAATTATGAACTTGACATTAATAACTCATTGACATCTATTATTTCATGGCTCACTAATAATAATTTAAAAATTAATTTGAATAAAACAAGTATAATGCATTTTAATCAGAGAATACAAAATCCGTTGCAAGTACAATTAGTTTATGACAATTATACAGTAAAAGAAGTAACCAACGCTCGATTTCTTGGCCTCATTATAGATAGTAAATTAGCTTGGAAGGATCACATTGAAACATTAAGTAAAAGAATCAGCAGTCTATCATATGCCTTATTTAAACTTGCTCCAATAGTTACTACTGATGCACTTCTCTCAGCATATTATGGCCTTGTTGAGTCGGTTCTGAGATATGGCATTATTTTCTGGGCAAATTCGACTTGTAAAGATGTAATCTTTAAAATGCAAAAGCGATGCATTCGAGCCATGTTCGGAATCCAAAGTAGTGAAAGTTGTAATCCGCTTTTTAAAAAATACAAAATTCTCACACTACCGTCCCTATATATATTGGAGGTGGCTACCTTTGTAAAAAAAAATCCTCACTTATTTCCTAAGCTATCGGACCATGTAAGCCGTAATCGCCGCGACAATGATAGACTTTGTGTCCATCCAGCAAAAACAGCCCTGATGCATAAAAGTGTCGTATGTAAGGCGCCGTTGATATTTAACAAAATTCCCAAATATATTAAGATCTTGGACATGAATGAATTTAAGACGAAATTTAAAACATTATTAGCTGAAAATTGTTATTATAGACTAGAGGATTTCTTGAATGACAACACTTTATAACCATAATGATATAATGTATCATTGATGATTTTTTGTATGATTGATGGATTATTGATTGCAGTAAATATATTTATGTTGAATATTGAATGTTTTAGATTAAATAAATTAATGTAGACGGTTAATAGTTGATAATGTATACCTATAACCATGATATTCGAGTCCTTTCGTTGTAATTGTTTTTTCTTCTTTTTTTGATTTTTTAAAATGTTTTTAAACGATTTTATGTTACATGTAGAAAAATGCTATTGTTAAATTAATTTTATATTTGTACACCGGTAACGGTCAAACATGTCGATCAGGCAATATTACTTAACATCTTTAATGTACACATGTTTATGCAAATAAAATATCTTGTATCTTGTATCTTGTATCTTTTGTATCTATGAAGAAAAAAAATCTTCAACCTCTAAGTATGAATTAAAATTAATTTACACTATTAACTATTAAATTACCATATTTTCATAAATTCAATATTAATTAATAGCTTAATAGTAAAATTTATTAATATAAATATTAAAGTAAATTTAGGTTCATTGAAGTCAATGACGCTTTTTTTTATATTCGATAAAGAAAATGTTTTTTTATTATCTATTATTATTATTATACTATTATCTACACAAATTAAAATACCTGCCCTGACTGAATTCATGCTGCTGACTTCTTAATGAACGCAGAGAATAAACCACTGGAGCTACAAAATTTTGGTGCTTTTTATGTTGTAAGATTTTTCTACTTTGTATTAATCATTTCTTCTTTCAAACTAAAAGCATTTGATTTTTATTTCAGTGAGATGACGTTTCCATTGTTCCTTATTATTAACATTAACCGGAACTTCATAAATATGACCAATTTTCTGAACCTCACTATGCGCAGATAGTGTAAAAGAGTCTGTTAAGTTTTATTGAAATTTTGCCGTTGTATCGCCATATTTCGTTTTATACTTACATTAATACAGGGACAGTTGCTAGTTTTAATTAACTGTGCCGTTGTCACCTGTTACAGTTTCGTCGCTAAAATACTTAATTAATAAATACTGTACCGTTATTTTAATAGTTTTCGTCGTTAATTTTTTTAATTATTTAGTTTTTTTTTTTTATTAATTAGTTAATTAAAATCGTGAACTTCAGAAGTTGTATACAGGTTTGATTCATTTTCTGACAGAGTGCCAGCTCCTTTAGTTTCATAAATAAGTCCGGTTTTTATGAAATAGAATACAAACGTGCGGACTATTTACCTGTTGGTAAGTGACTACCACCGCTCATGGACATTTACAACTCAAGAAACACAAATTTATTGCCGGCCCTTGAGTGATGAAGTAGTCCAGTCCTCCGAGGTTAGACCTTAGGTAAAACCAAAGCTCATAATTCTGGGTCAAAACCTATAGATTTGGATATACCTTTGAAACCTTAGAATTAGTTCAAATGTAAGCCATCCCATCCCATCCCACCTATCTTTTGATTGGGTTGACTTAGCAACTTGATTATTTTACAGCTTTCAAAGATGGTTTTGATAGGTATTTGATACATTAGTATGCAGGTATTTTGTGTAGTAATTTTAACTTGATACACAGACAGACAAATGGACAACGCATATTCTTAGGGTTTCTTTATTCAATTGAGGTACAGAAGTCTAAAAATTAAATAATAAAACGTTTAGAAAAATATTTATTTGTTTATTACACTGATGTGTCCATTTCGTTTTTATGTGACACGTAAGCTGCTTGACCGTTCTTATCCAATTGTTCTTCAGCAGTATCTGCAAGATAAAGGCTTTGAATAGTTAACTTAATGAATTAGTCTAATTATATAGGTATATTTTACTTGGTTCAGAGATGTATACTTTCATTTACAGATGAAACACTATAATTTTGACTGCACAAAAGGCGTAATGGTTTAAGCCGTTACGTCGCTGCTTCCTACTGCGCTGAATGTTTTGGGTTCAAACCCAACATGGGACAACACTTTGTGTGATCCTCAAATTGTTGTTATGAGTCTGGGTGTACTTTGAGTCCGTTTCATGTATGTTTGTATAGTACCCCGCGACACAGGATTTATTCCTAGAGCGGGAGTCATCTTTTAAAAAAATAAAAATATGTATCTTACATCGTTAGCAACTATTTATGAAAATACTGCATAAATGTGTCCCTTTAACAGTATATTGATATTTTTAATAGAAGTACATTTAAGTTTAGCGATCTATCACACAACCTTCCAACCTCACAACCTTGGAAGCAAACCGCACTAAACTGCTCTACAGAAGTATGCCCTGCGAGAAGTTACATCATGTACTGTAAGTCTGATACTAAGATCTCGTCTCCGGTATGGTTTACTAAATATATATTTTCAACCTAAATATATATAAATAAGTTCTAAAATTTTGTTTGATTTTGCCAAGGAGTGTCATTTCGACGCCCCCCGCGAATAATCCGGTAATCGTAAAAGTGTAAATGTTCAGGAAAAATAAAAAAACATTTTTCCATAATAACTCTATTAAACAACAAGTATCAGAGACTTTTTATATCGCATATGGAAGCTAATTTTTTCAGCTATCTGGTTATTTCAACAAAATTAAAGTAGTCCCAAGGGCTTCGTTTTAATTTAGCTGGATGCATTTTACTATATTAGTGTAGGTCAAGCTCTGGTCAGTAATGTCACTTACGATATTGTTCGTGTAAATTTATATTTTCGACGGCAACAGTAAAATCTTGTTGCGATATTATTCGTGTAATTTGTTTTGTATACTGAACATTTGTAAAAAGTAATAATTAGGTTATTCGATTGTTTAACAGTAACGTACATTTTATTGTTTTGACTATTACTGTTTATTCGAATAGTTTACTTAAGTATTATTTGATGATTATTATAGTATATTTTATGAAAGCTTGCCAAACGTAACAGAACCCTAGTTTGTTTAGAGCGTCAAAAACTGTAAAATTATTATTACGTTTGTAGTGGAAAATTGACAGTTCAGACTGTGGTACATTCAAAATAAGCCTGTGTAACTTCCAAGCATTCCCCACCATTATCAACCATTTTATATGAATTTGAGCTTTTGTGATACTGAATCAGGTCACGATGAGGATTCTGATTAAGATTTTCAACTGTAAAATAGACCTTATTATAATTTTCATGATTGTGTAATCATGTGTAATAGTCGTGTCTTCAGTGCAGTGTCTATTTTTTATGATAATAATAACTATCGTGTTTTGTCAAACTAACCAAAGTTGTTTCATTTACTAGAATGTCCTTTATTTATAATAATCATCAAATAATACTTAAGTAAGCTATTCGAATAAACAGTAATAGTCATAAGAATAAAATGTTACATAAATAAGGTAGAAAACTATTTACCCGAATAATATCGTAAAGTAATTTTACTGTCAAATCATATTGATCTAAAACCAAATTATTCGTTTAAAATACATTTTAATGAATTTTTATGGAATATACGCGTAGTTTTTCATATCTTCGTAAATAAAGATAGAAAAATTCTGAAAAAAAATTACATGGTGTATTTTAACTTCTAGATGCCGAAAACGCATAACATGAAAAACCCCGTAATAGGTCCGTAGGAGAATGAAAGAAAACTCACTGCATTGATCTAAAAAGAAATGGGAAAAGCATAAGATGGTGAGGATAGTTCTAAAGTTTTATTCGCATAACATCCCAAAATCTTAAAATATCACTTAACTTTTTTGCCTCTTAACATTAATTTTCATTTTATGGAAATATTTGCTGCCATAATCCTTTTGAATATATGAAAGGATTGTGATAGTAAATATTCCCAAATTAAAGATCTGTAACACTTAAAAATGGACCGCTTTTAATTAACTGAGAAGTACCTACCCATAAGCATATTCAGGTGGCCAATGTGCCTCTTATTACTGACATGGTCCCAGTATTGTCTGTCATGGCTTCCGAATACTGTGTATATGATATTGAAGACGATATATAAGCTTGCCAATATCAATAGGATAATTCGCCACCTTTCTGTACTATTCTGTAAATGTAAAAAATTAATGGTTTAGTAACACTATGCTGAGGTTAATTTTTTGAGTCACCGAAAATAATCTGAAACATCTTCATTTTTTTATAAAATTGGTGACAAACAAACAGCTGGATACACCTGATAGTAAGTGACTACCACCAGTTATGAACAGCTACAATTCAAGAAATAAAAGACAACCACGCATGTCGCATACTGTGTGACCCCCACCTCCTTCCTGCACACAGGAAGGGGGGGAGGGGCTCTCTGTGTGCCTGCTCCCTCAGTTTTGCAGGGAAGCGGCACACAATAATGCAACACGGTATGATATATTCAAATAATATTATAATAAACTCCATCCTCTCTCTTCTATAAATGCTTACCATATTATCTCCCAATATAAGTCCAAAAATGTAAGGCATACAACCACTAAAGACACTGCTAAATGTACAAGACAACATAATTAAGGTTCCGGAGAAATTTTCTGATAAATCTTGAAATGAAATCTGCAAATGAATAATGACTCTTATTAAATATAAGGATACACAACTTTATTAATTATATTACTGAGGTCGTGGTTTACCTAATTGTAAACAGTGCTTAGAAAAAAATACTTCATTTTTCATGAAAGGTATATTGAAAGGGTGATTCTATTTAAATGGGTCTCTTTCTATTGACTAGTTTTCTATTCATCGCAGTGGTCCTTAAAGCGAAAATAGATTCTTAACGATACAGTAAGTGGCGGTTCTTATGGACCAACAGACATGGTGATGTTGAAATATCCTTATTTACCATATCATTGTTGTGAATACACTCACATAGTAATAAATACATTAAGACCTTTATTGATCAACTCATTTATTATGAACACTTCACATAATTAAATGGAGAAAATGGAATGTAGGAATGTGTAAAAATCACTATCTTTTAAGGGAATGAAAACTCTCAAGGCTTGGTCCTTCGAAATCTCTTAAATCCTTACTCTACACTTTACACACTGACTTTGACTAGACATTGACTTTCTCCAGAAGAAGAACTGGCATGAATTGCAGTTGCAACTTGGAGTTAATCTTAAGAAAGACAGTTAGATAACTCATTTTGAAAATTTTATATATATATTAAGTCTTAAGAAAATGAAACCGCATATTCAGAATATAGTATATAATCTCTATCTAAGTAAGTAATTTACTGCTGCTATTAATAAACAACAACATCTAATTAATTTCTATTAAATAAACATTTTTACGTTATTAGTTGTAAACCAACAATTAATGCATCAGTTTAACCAATTAAAACTAAAACAAACTTACCAGAAATCCACAGAATTGCATTCCCAGTAAGCCCAATATTGCTGCCAAAACAATAATCGTCGCCCAGTTCCATTGGCTTGGAAAATTTTGTACAGTTGTTAATCCCATTACGATACCAAAAGCACCTATGAGTTTGTATGTAAAAAAAAATTAATATTGATAACAACCAGCTTTAAAGCTTGCGTTTTCGACTAAGCCTCTAAAACAATAATTTGGTTAAGAATTACAGTTAAAACACTGCTATTTATAATAATTCGAATGTTTAAAATCTAAAGCTAAAATACAATAGATTATCGTAAACATTAAGATAAGTTGATTCTTGGAAATAATAATTAACTGTTAATCTAATATTTTTTAATGTACATTATTGTTAAGTTGATTAAACTATATCAAAATAATACGATTAAAAAATATAAAGATTATATATTTTTTACCAATAGTGTTGATGGTTTTTCTAAACAATTGTGTACTGCAGATATAGTTCAAGTACTTTAGTCCGAAGATCCACTCCGTAGTCGGTCTTAGAATAATGTAAGTTATTGACATTGTCAAGAAAGGCCACATACAATACCAAGAACTCTGAAAAAAGTTTTAAAGATGAGAGAGTTAAAAGCGAGGTAAACTTTGTCAGCTTTTATATTAAAATTAACAATTCAAATACTGGAGTCGTAAAAAAGACCAATGAGAAAAGAGTTCATAAAAATAAATAGGAAGGCCGCAGACAAATTAACAATTTATTGTAAGTTATAAAGAAAGTGAGTTTTATCTGAATAAATTAATAAAATATTATGTAATATAATTAGAGACAAAAGGGGACAAATAAGATATAAAAGAAGGCATAAGAGCTGTTGCGCAACAGTAGTAAAAAGTCTTATCGTAATTTTTGGTCTCTTAAATATAAAACTTTGGATGATTCAAATGATATTTCTAAATATTTCACCGCAGCCCGGGAAGGAGAGGAAGACGTCCGGTTTCAGATAAGGGGTTTGTTTTATGTCATTCAAGATTTCCCCGCCAAGGAAAAGTTCTGACTTCACCCAGGCTAGGGTCTGAGGAAACCTTGAAATTACATGGTTACAGGTCCTTCCCTAGCTAGAGGAGAAGTCGACGTTGTCGTCTGTGGCTGGAGCTCCTGCATCGCCGTGATAAAGTCCCTCCGGAGCCGGAGATCCGAAAGGATTTGCTCTCCCGTCAAAAAAGGTATCATAAAATTAAAAAATTAAAATTGAAAATACGTAATTAATTTTACGTACTTCTTTCAAACTTAATCCAAAAGTCATTATGTACGCCGGTAAATAAGCTACGTAAAAAATGAAAAGAGTGCTACTGGCTGCGTGTGCGAAAATTAGTGCCCATAACTTTGATGATGTCAAAATCGCATGCCATGGAATTGGAAGATCTTTCTGAAAATAAAGAAATTTTCATAAAGCCAATAATAAACAAGCACCATGGAAAGAAAAAGAAAGAAAGAAACCTCCTTTCTAAGGAGAGGCCTATGTCCAGCAGTGGACTATAAAAGGCTGTTGATGCGATGATATAATGTGATGGCCAGTTGAACGGTATAAATAAAAAAACTAATATTGGCTTAGAAGAATTTAATTTCTACAAACTAATAATTGCAAGAGTTCTCTGTTCATGGTTTCGAATTGCACATGGATCTTGAGAAATCATAAAATATGCTTGACTGTAATTTCCTGTCGGGAATTACAGTCCAAATAACTTAGTACTGCATACTTCTCTAGCTATTTTTTTTTTATTTTTTTATTTTTTTTAACTTTTTGCACAAGTACATGCATCGGCGGACTTAATGCCTAAGGCATTCTCTGCCAGTCGACCAATTTATCATTTCGAATAACAATGGATACAAAAAATTTAAAATAAATGAGATTGTAAATTTGATTAATCTTAACAATGGTTTTTAGATTATTAGTTTTGAATTTAAAGCTAAAGTGCCAAGTATTTCATACACTTAAAACTTATATAAGTAAAGAGGTACTTATGATCAAATAAAAAGTAAGTCTACCTTGCGGTAACATTCCAAATTCTTGCGAATAAATTCTTTCTCAGTATCTCCAACTGCTGGGTGATCCTCTGGTGAACTTGCAGTTAATGTTCCCGATATAACTGCCATGGATAATCCCATCATAGATAAGGCATAATACACTAGTTCCCAGCCCAATGCAGCTGCTGATATAAGCCCGGCTAGAGGCAAAGCTGTGATAATTCCTAGTTGGACACCTGAAATCAATACTTTGTTATACGAGTATATTAACGTTTTAGCCCTTTGCTAGCTTTTAACTTTAACAAAAGAAATAACTACACCAATAATGTTTGGGAAACGAATGGCTAACCGTTAGCATTGTTTTCTTGCCCTTTTCCAAATTTCATTAAGGATCGGCGCAAAATGTAAAAATGCAATAGGTTTTGGTTGGCCCAAAGAATGTTCATATTCAAGTTGAATAAAGGAAAGGTCCATTGCGAAAGTGAAAAGTGGGGGACTTAAGGGAAAGGATAACATTGCAAGTCTCGAGTACAGAATCGGACTAAGACTGCAGTAACTCGATGAAGCCAGAGTCATGTATCCGTAAGGCGCCAGCCCGCTATTGACTATGCACCTAGAATCTGAATATCTACTGGCCATAAATGTAGGTCTAAATATTTTATTTTTGGTTAAGATTAATTATTTTGTAAATAAAGTTTTGTCGGAATTTCCCACGCCCTGCTTTGAAATTAATTTGTTTATATCATACAATAGGAAATGTATATTAGCATCAAAAATAATTATTATCTCGATCAAAAGGAAAATTTACGTTGTAGTGAAATTTTAATTAACTTTTACGAACGTAAGATGTCTTAATGTTTGAAGTAAGAGAAATAATTCATAATGTACTTAACATTCAAAAGGAAACAGTTGAAGCAGTAATGGAGCTCTAAGCCGGGGTTTCAAGGCTCACAATTATGAAAACAATAGGCGATGCCATAAATAAATGTCGGGACAGGTTCCTATTTCTAAGTATTTCTGAAATGTAACTGGTATAGGTACAAACAATATTTATCGATCTGCCATTAGTTATTGGTTGAGAAGGGATTTAGTTACCGCCTGATCTTTTATTAGTCATTCTTCCATTTTATGATATGGCGGTTCAATGCTAATGGTTACATATTGCAAAAAAAAAAACCTAAGGCCCATCATAAAACTAGGAAAAGAAGTTATGGTTTTGATGATCGATACTTATTGATATACACTCACGACTCTATCCCCTGCGGGGTGGACAGAGGCTCACATAAAACAGGAGTCAGATTTATTAACCACTAAACTAACAGTCCAGCCATATCAGTGCTTGTAAAAAACTAAATATATTTTCTTAATAAAAAATATATTTTTGTAGTGCAAAAAGCATGGGCTCCTCATAGAATTTAAGATTTTACTCTTTTGTTTTTTTATGGAAGAGGGGGCAAAGGAGTAGACGTGTGACCTGGAAAGTGACTACCACCGACCAGAAACAAAATGTGGTTTTAAGTTTTGTCTAAGTCATCTTTTAAAAAAATGGTCTAAATATATTTTACAGAAGTTTATACCGACGGTTATACAAGAGCAGATAAATTAGGTGACTGTTTCATACCTGAATAAATTAAGGTACTAAAAATTGTTTTCTCGTTGGGTGGCAGCCAGGTTTCGAGCTGCACGTGGTTCACTGTGTGAAAACATGCATGGGACATACCCATTAACAGTTTTGCATTACATACCGCTATCCAGCCGCCCTGTTGATAAATAATAAAACAATATCATAGAAAATGCCTTTGAAGATAATGCCATAAGTTTTTCAATCAGTAGGTAGTCACAGTTTAAGACTTTTTGTTCCATTAAAAAAAAACATGTAACAAAGACTCATCAATCCTGCATCACGCAATGATAGTTATCTGGCCGATTAGTATGAATACACTTCCTAACATCAAATGTTAGGCTGCGAAACGCCAGGAATGTTCACCTCGCCTGGTCGGAAAACCCAGGGATGGTTTTCCGATCAGGCGAGCTGTTTTAGAGGAGAATCATAACACCCATTCCTCTATAATTAGCAAACGCAGTGCCTATTTATATTTGGAATTATTTATATTTGGAATATGGTATAAAAATAAAATAAATGCTATCCACGGTGTTAACCCTAGATTTGCTTATTTCACTTGACCGTGCCCTATTACTCGTACATTATGAATTAATAAAATATATATATTTTAAAGTAAAAAAGTCTTAATCAATTAATGAAGCATTCAATTATTTAATAACATTTCTTTTATAAAAGTTGCTTCAATAAAGTAGATTTTAAAAACCTGGGTGGCTAATGATGTACACATACATAGCATAAAAATTAGCAAAATATCATACCCTATTGACAATAGTTGGCATAGCGACACACAGGGCGCCATTTATGAACAATATTGCAGTAGTCAGAAACTTTGCACTAATGTTCCTCAGAATTTTCTCCGAAGGTACCAGCATCAGCGCGTATCCAATGAAGAAAGAAGATAGAATGGCACCCTGGATTTTACCATCCCAATTGTATATCTGAAACATTTAGCAAAAACTTTGTTTTACTAAATAAGCATATCAATAATACTGAACAGTAATGTTCTCGTCACTTTGTAATGAAGGGTGAGGTTACCGGAAAGCCAACTCCCCCTCTACTTCTGGGAACAGGGCCCTCAAAGGAAGGGCAACGTAGCTTTGTCTCTTAAGGTGGCGGTAGTTATTAAACTCCAAAAGACGCGTCTGCTCGTTTGTCCTCCATCCCATAAAAAAAGAAATTAATTCTACTAAAACAGGAATGCAACATTTAAAAAAGTAAATATGTCAAAGTATTGAGAGCTACAATTTATAAACAATGGTTGTTATTAAAGAAAAAATCTAAAAACGGCTACAAGAGGCTTTACAAGATCGGATCTACGTACGGCGTACGGAATAGAGAAAGACAATTCCCTCACTAGGAACATATACTTTACAAACATACATGAAACGGACACAAAGAACACCCAGACTCAGAACAACATTTTGTGGATCACTCAAAGTGTCGTGCCATGTGTTGATCGACCCACAACACTCAGCGTAGTAGGAAGCGGCGTGGCGACCGCTTAAGCCACTACGCCTTTCGGGAAGTCTTAGCACTGAGCGTCTCTGTGATAGTTGTTCAAGTTATACAGGACTTTTGAAATAAAACATAACCTTTTAAACTTAGTAAATTATACTTAAAATTTGACCGTCAGGCGATACCTAGCATTCATAGAATCACCTAGAATAATCCAAACACACATGTTGATGCTTAGAAATGTTTGAACTAAGGAAGAAACAAGCCCAGGACAATTCACTTTCCAGTCAACAAAGACAACCCACCTTTATATACGTATCATCTTTCCTTGTCTGGTCATTTATCGCCAGTACTGCGATGCCCATACTGCCACGTATTATTCCAATAGCGATTGAGTTAGCAAACATATACAGCATTTGAAGGTGACGGACTCCAATACTGAATCCTGGAAGGAAAAAATATAATCTACAATAGTTTTTTTACGTGCAGAAATGTTTTTGCTTTTCCGAAGCCGAATTTTTGTGTTAGGTATTCAACATTTTGCTTCGATTCTCCACAGCAGTGATAATCTACGTGAATACGATTGCAGGGTGCGACTGTTTACTCCCTGGACAGACAAGCAATTCTGTTGCGTTTGTTTTTGTAGTTTTGTAGTTTATCTTAAATTAGCTTTCCTACAGGTAGAGATAGACAATATTTTACAATAATGAATGTTGTCTTTAGATTTTCGTACAACATAATAATAATGGCTACATTAAACAATACACGATTCAGACAAAAACAAAGAACAGCCTTAGTGTTTGTTTTATGTTTGTTTTAAAAATCATAAAGTATGGGCTTACGAAAATTTAATATTTTATTTGTTTATATATATTATCAGTCATTGTGTTAGTATGTAAGTAAGATACCTGTTTGATAATAACTTTGTCTACAACTTTGTCTACAACTTTTGCCGTAATTATTGTTTATAATATTTTTACGTAATTGACTTTAAAAAGCATACAACATACCAACTTCGGAACACCTATATAGCGATGAATTGTCATAAGTTCTATTCTACATTTCTAAACTGTCCACCAATAGGGGTGGTATTACAAACACAAATTGGATACAATATACAAATGGGATCAAACGGGAAGTATACTCTCCCAAATCTCCCACCAAATTGAAAAGCACCTTCTGTATTTGAAGTCGGTTTAAAAAGAGTTTGATTTTATTGGCTATCTAAAGAGTGCTTGTAATTTTTTTCTTTGTTTTAATGACAAACATCAATCGAGCGATCTAGCAGTTGCATAATTTTTTACACTATGTTTTGCCACCTGCTCCGCCGGCTTGAATTTCGGCTATCGCGGTAAAAAGTAGCCCGTGTTACTCTCGTCGTAATGTAGCTTTACATTGGTAATTTTATTTAAAAATCGGTTAATTAAAATCGGTTTAGTGGATTAGGCATGAAAGCGTAATAAACAAACTCACTTTGATATTTATAATATAGGTATGGATGTAGCATTTGTTTTCATTGCAAGTTTTATACACAAAATGAATACCAAACCGAAACACTAGATATTGTCAGTTTACTTAGTCTGTGTAAGGCTTAAACAAAGTCTATTTTGTTGTTCAATTTGATCAAAAATGTAAGTCAAATAAATTTATGCAGTAATTCATTTCGGATGTTACTGCTACAACATGGCCTTCCTTGTTATCTAGAAAGGCATTAGGAACCGGACAAACTCAGACAATAAGCACCCGTATGAAATAATCTAATATTAATTGCTTTAGAATCTAAACAAGTAGGTAGAATACAAACAGGTACCCATTAGTAGTAGGTTATTACCTACTACTAATGAGTACACCACGCCTCACGCTCCCTGTTTTGCGAAGGCGTCACGTAATTCTGTGTATCGGCCTCGGGGAAGCACTTATTGGCAAAGTCCAAGATTGTTATTTACTCTCCCTAGTGCAGTAAATACTTGCATCAGTCTAAGCAAAGCCCTATGCCATTTCGTGGTCCATGATATAAGATGATGGATCTTACCATCACAATCGTGCATGAACTGTTTTATATGTAGAATAACAACATAATTAGTAGTGGATATTTATGGGAAGGAAGTGATTTAATGGATAAAATTATTTGTGTAAATATGTATACAATCTTTTGAACAATTAACTCTGATGTAACAAGAACGTAAGTGAGTTTGGTAGAAATGTATTAACATGTTATTAACCTCTGTTTCTAAACATAAGCTCATTATTTTATAAAGTTGCTCAGCTGTTATTTGTATTCGTCTAATAAAGGAAACAAAAGAACGCACAAGATCCATGGTTAAAGTTTAGGCAGATAGTTGTTCCCAAATACATGTTCCTTACGACAAGTAATCTAGTAAATCTCACAGGTTGATTATCACGTCAAACAATAACACAGATCAGAGAATAAAATAAATTCTCTTCAAAATAGAAAACAACGCACCATTTTTGGTAATCACACCGTAGTGTCCGTCTTGAAACTGTGATCTTATGAAATCCACGTCCATTATGTATTGGTTACGAAAACATTACAGTCAGGCTGAACGTACGTAAACTGTTATGAGAAAAAAATATCTTCAACCACTATTATCTTACATATCATACTAACTATCACTGTATGAATAAACTATTTAACATGTGTAAATACCACTGATTTTCTACACAAATATCGTTATCACGTACAGTTTGGAGTTAGATATTAGTGTAGTTACTTATTTTGATCTTTATTTTATTTGTGTGAAAGTTGAAATTTGGATGATGAATATAGAACGGTAAATATACGTTGTCTGTAACTTGAAATTTACAGACAAGAACAAAAGGCTGTCCGATTTTTATTACGTTAAAATGTATAAAGCATTCTGTTTAATTATTGTGACTTTAAAATTTTTCAAAACCACTTTCTAAGTCAATTTTAATTTTCGTTGACGTATGACAGAGTCCAGTTAAGGATTACTATTATTTAGTACAGTCAAAGGAATTTTCACAACCAGCTTTTAGTAGTCCACTGCTGGACATAGACATCTCCTTAAAAAGGAGGTTTTGAAAAGGAATATTAATGCACATAAATACGACTAAAATATGTACTATGTTATGAAAAATTCAACAAATAGCATCCGTTTTGATAGATTATTTGCGTCAATATATTTGTATTTAATAAAATGATACGACCTATATTTATATGATATAAGAATTAAATAATATTTGAATAAATTTTACTTTAACTTTTAAGAAAATTAAATGGTATAGTTCCAAGTTTAAAGGAAGTTTGAAGATTTATTGAACTAGCTAGGGTACTTGTGAGTTTGTGAAGTTGCGTAAATATAACTTTGGGCCATATAATGCAACCGATATGGCATTTGTAAATTTACATCCACAATTCCTACATTTCGTTAGGGGAAAAAGGATTGAAAATGTAATGTAAGTGTGTTGAAAATTTGACTGCACGGATGGCGTAGTGGTTTAAGCGGTCACCTCGCCGCTTCCTACTACGCCGAGTGTTGTGGGTTCAAACCCCACATGGGACGACACTTTGTGTGATCCACAAATTGTTGTTCTGAGTCTGGGTGTTCTTTGTGTCCGTTTCATGTATGTTTGTAAAGTCCCCCGCGACACAGGAATGTATTCCTAATGCAGGAGTTGTCTTTTTTAAAAAAAGAAAAAAAGAAAGAAAAAAGAATTGTATTATTTAAAATCAATTATTATGAGTATTATGAGCAAAAAGCAAACGGGTCATGGACCGCTGCCTATGTTCCTGCTGAAGTTCCTTCAGTGCCGATTTACCTCTCGATTTCACAAATATCATAAATAGAAATCTGTTAAACATCCAAGGTTGATTGTAATGTGAGTATATCGTATTGTAACCGAAAGTTGAATTGGTATTCTGCTAGTCTTAGTATTACTTTACTACAAGAATACCATTTATGACGTTTTTGAGATCGAGGGCAAATTGGAACTGAATTTTAAATGAATTTATATTCCGAGAATTGACCTTTTGCTATTAAAGAGACGCAAGTGCAATGCCGATCTTTAAGAATTGAGTTATGGGGTTGGGTCGCCGATGACTTCACTCACTCAGTGAAAAGCAACGAAGAAATTGTACACCAGATTTCTGTGAGGCTGTTATATCACCTTATATATATCACCACTGTGGAACAGGTTATCGTCTGCGGTTCCGGACCGATACGACCTTCAAACCTCCAAGAAAAGAGCGTACTCTTTCCTTAAAAGCCGGCAACGCGCTTGTGACTCCTGAGTTAAAAGAGTTCATGGGCGACTGTAGTCGCTGTCTATCAAGTGACCCTGGTCTCCTCGTTTACCCCATAAAAAAACCACTCCGATCGCGCCGTCCCGGTTAATACTTTTTGTAAACTTACCATTCATGCATGAGTTTTTTCAGCCATGCTAAACTATTAAGAGACTGTTGAGTGTGGCAATGGTTTTTTTTATATTATAGCTTTTTGACAAAGAAAACATTATTGTACTGTAAAGTATTTATTTCTATTTCGACGCGTTCATCTGTAGTATGTTTCTGTGTACCGCAATACTATTATCATCAACCCTGGCATTTCAAGGTAAACGCACACGTATTGCAAATTTATTCTCAGATTAATTTCATCATATATTGATCTCTGCTATAATTCAAACACTGTATAGTATAACCTCGTATAGTTTGTACCATAGTTTTATGCTTTAAGTGTATTTTATGTGTGTTAGGGTTTTATTGCGTTACTATTCTTTAGTTCTAATCTTATGATTTTGATTTTAAACTTTATAGTTTGCTAATCTTAGTAATAGTAGTAGTCGTTGCTGCTCTGTTACTTTTTCTTGATAATTATCTATACACACATATAAAATTATTTTCCCTGACTGACTGACAGATTAAAGCTGCTTTATAAGCAGATGCTTTTTTAAGTTCTACCCACCCACTAAGAAGGGTTTTTTGCAAAACTTCACCCTTAAGATGGCAAATAATATTTCATATAACGGATGGTGGTATGATCAAGATTATTGTTTTGAAAGTTAGAAACACGAAATGAGTGAGTGAGGTTACCGGAGCCCAAATCCCTCTTCCCGCTGACTCGATTGGGAGGGACTCCAAGGGCAGCAACGCACTTGTGACTTTTGAGTTGCAGGTGTCCATGGGCGGCGGTAGTTGCTTACAATCAGGTAACCCGCCTGCTCGTTTGCTACCTTATACTATAAACAAAAAGAAATAAAATTGATCATGCGAAAGCTGTGACAACAATTTAACGAAAAAAATCTATAATACCGCAAGTATAGTTCTTACATCATAAAGGTACTTAAATTAATCTATCACCCAGTCATCAGCAACATAATCAGAGAGATGTAACATTCATGTTTGAACGATATGTGTACTTTCACCCTTATATAAAGTTAGAATGTTAACTTCAGATATAAACAAGTTCCTCGTCCGGAATTTAATGCAAAACTAGATTTCAGCTTTAACGTTCGTATTACAGCAGTTTATCTGATTGCATATTAAACTTCTAATTTCCTCAGTTAAGAGTACATACAAGAAATATATTTGTGAGGGAAAATCAGATTTGCACAAAGTCTTTTGTTCATCGGGGGATTATCAGATTACTTTGGCTAATATTAGTTTCGGAGAATCACACTTATGTGTTCTTCAACGTCTTTGTGTACAATAAATTTTCCTAATGATAATAACAAGAATTTTTGAAAGCCGGCCAAAATAAACAGATGGGTAATACTTTATTTGTATGCCAGGGTTTTACAGTTATTGTAAAACATAAAATGTACAGCAGTAATAATAGCAGCAGTAATAGTACAAAGGGCGGTCTTATCGCTTAGAGCAATTTCTTCCAAGCAAGCTTTGGATGGACTGAAATTATTTAAAACTGATGAAGATATATACAAGTTCAAGCAATCTGTCACAGATCCACCAACATGGGCTGAACTATGTTCCATAATAGGATGGTTTAACCAAGGAGATAAACCAGAGATTCTCCGGTAACCACAGCAAAGACCCGACGCTGCGTTGCCCAAGTTGTTCTCACCGCAGCGCAGTATGAATAAGGTACTTGAGTTTAAGTGTTAAGCACGTAACCCGACGACTCCTTTTGGAGCCGACCATTGCCACGGAGCTACTACCACTACCACGATGCACTCTACGGTTTTATGAGGAGTACCGAGAAGGGCAGTCAACTTTGAAGTTGACCATTAACTGCGACAAAAAAGTGAAAAGAAAGGCTATGCGGGTCTCAATTATTACCTTTTTATTATCAGAGATTATATAAATATTTAAATGAAAATAATCACCTTTAAGATAATATTATTATAAGAAACAATATGCAAATTACAAAGACGTAGAAATTAAGCAAGTCATTCGTAATATTTTGAAATTTATGGCAATTTTACAATTTACATTTAAATAAGATAAAAGACGTTTCTCACAATAATGGTAAAACTTCTATGATAGATAAGTAAAGGAAGATACTGTTCATTTATGTATACAGAGTACTATAGAAAGGTATGGTAGATCCCAAGTATATTGTAACGGACTAAATATTTAAAATTTATTTTTTAATTTTAAAACTGAAAACTTTATTTTTAATTTAATAAAAATAATTTGCCCATAGTCAATACACCACATACCTACGTGGGATTTAATCTTAAAATACATGGATCTCCGTATCTTTTGCTATCCTATTAAACCACAATAGAACATCGGTCCTATCTGCTGCTTTTGTAGAATTATTTGAAACACGAACATTATTTGTTTAGGATAAAAACTGTAATCGTTTTTCTTTATTTGTTTTGGGAATTTGTAATCGGTTCGTGGTTCTCTGAACACATCATGAATATGATAATAGAGTATTATGGTTTAAAGTAGAGGGTCATGTTATGATGTAAGGGATGTTTTTGGTAATGGACCTTCACAAAAGGGTTATATTTTCTTATTTACCTTTTATAATATAACTGTATAAATTAGTATTAGAGAAAAGGTTAAATTGATGGAGCCAGGGTATGAGGTACGGGGACCTCTGGTGGCAGATAGCTTGCTGCAGTAGGGGATAGAATAGCAGCCTGATGCATTAAGATGCAATCGGGCCGCCACGCCGCGATTGAGGGGGAAGTGTTTTCCCCTGGGTTAGGGCCTGATTAGGAATTGTGTCAATTCGGGGAGGACCTGAAATAACATGGTCTGGGTCCTCCCTCAGAAAAAAAAAGGTACGAGATACAGCTTTCGGCTAGTGAGGGACAACCATAATATCTAAAACCAGGACCATTTTAAGTGGTACATACATATATGGTGTACCATAGACTACTAGAAAGGTCAGGTCAAGGAGAAAATGGGACCCCAACCCTCCCTCCCCCTCATACTGGGGGAGACCCAAGGCACAATGTACTATTAGTAGTCGGTTACCACCATTTGCCTTTTATACCTATTTTAACAATGTATTGAGGTATTTTCATAGTATTTAAAGTCCAAACTTTGTGTTTTGTGATTGTGTTCGAATCCTAA